AATAATTAATAGATTAATATATATTAGTTGTTTAATGTTTGCTTGTTTTAAATATTGATGTTTTTCGCTTTTTCTTATCAGTTATCATTACATTAATAATTAAAATTTAAAAATCTCATGTATAATAATTATTAACTAGGTATTAAAGTATTTAAAGTATTTAAGTAAATAGTAGTAAAATCTATATTCAATAATTCTGAGGTATGGTGGCTAAATGATAAATAAATAAATAAATAAATATTAAATAAAATAATATTATAGGGGTGAAACTTTGCTGACATAAAGTTGTGCTGCTGTAGTATATTTGGCAGCACAAAAGTGTCGAAAGCTCTACCTGCGAATATAATGTCCAACAAATTCTGAGATTGATCCAACAATGTCCAACAAGTTGCCAACAAGTTTGTTGGATGTGCTTCATGAGTGTCTGTCATAGTTGTGCTGCTAACTTTATGAGGGTCAGTAAAACTAAATCTACTAACATATCACATGTAACAAATACTTACCTAATTATATACATAAATACTATCTGAAACATGGTTATTAAAATGTGTTGTCCAATCAACAAAACATAATCATCAGATTTTTTTGAAATCCTTGTATGGAGTAGATAGAATTAATTCAGCACACAACGAMTCCTTCATGTTGGTTACGCGAATAATACCACGTTGAATCTAATATTGTTTTAATATCTATTTTACTGACCTTTTGACGAAAAAAACACGATCCACAAACATTAGGGTCACGTAATAATTGCCGGCTAACGATATCGTGCTGAGTAACGCCAAGAAAGCCGACGCGCGAGCTGTCATTCGATTGAACTCCACGAGTATACCGTACTTGAGGTAACCGAACACGACCGTGGCTAGAGCCAGCAAACTGCGGGTTCGGTATTCGATTGACCACTGTCCAACCACGACCACATCGGTGCGTTGACCGTGGTTGTCGGTTTTGATTTGCAGAGACTGTTCCATGTGGCTCAGCGAATGTTGGACGTGCYGCAGTTGGGCGGTGTTTACGACCGTCAGAAAAATGCTGATTGCTCCGATCGCGTTCGTTAACAGAGAGTGTACATCATTGGTCCCGCCGTCATGGACCCACATAAACCAGACCCCGTCGAACGTCAAGTACAGTTGTACAGCGATAATGGCGAATAGTAACACGGTGTGACCGTTCATGCCGATGCCGCCGAAGACCAAACACTGAACGCAGCGGCCTCTTGTTAACTTGTCACAATTCTACGAATCCCTCTTTGAACCCAAAAAACAATGTCGTTTCATAAGTGCATAATACGTGATTTTCGACTTAACATCCGATTGATGGATGATTTTCGTCAACCAATTAACAGCTTAGACAAAATACGTTTTAATRGTATGGACTCTATACCGTTATGAATTACCACGAAGACGTTATGATATTATCATTATTGTAATGGTCGGCTGCCACTAGACGTGTATTATTGTCACGGTGTAAGATTTCGAGTGTTTTTTCCCTGTCATAATGTGTACAAACAATTACAATTA